AGGGAGGGCTCCTGTCAGGGAATTGCGCAGCTGGCGTCCAAACGAAGTTAGAGACACTGACAGGAACTTGTAATTTTATGTGAATAAGTATGTTTAAACATCTATATTGACAGCAGACAAGATAGTCAGGAGCACACTAACATGAGGTAAATTGCATGAGGTAAATCGCATGAGGTAAATTGCATGAGGTAAATTGCATGAGGTAAATCGCATGAGGTAAATTGCATGAGGTAAATTGCGTGAGGTAAATCGTGTGAGGTAAATCGTGTGAGGTAAATCGTGTGAGGTAAATTACACAGCAGTAAACAGAGCACACAGAAGAAAAAAGCAGGAAAAAGGGAAACTCCCCCTTTTACACCCACAGCAACCAATCATAGCATATATTTTCTCATGCAGGAGCCTCCTCTCCCCAACCAATCAACCACAACTCTGTGTTCTGGCCCATACAACCAATTTCATTGTATTTAAGTACAATGACAATAAAGATTATACTTATATTTATTTACTGTTCCAGTTACTAAATTAAATATCTTAACAGTTCCCAAGTCTTATAAGATTTCCCCGGATTTCTAAACGCAACATGGCGCACTCAGATTTGGAGACATTCCCTCTGTCCCTTGCCTCACTTTGGCGGTGACACACCGCAAAATGGGACAAGGAGGAGAAGAATCAGGTTGGAGATGTCCAGGAGGTTCAAGTGACTCCTGAATAAACTCAAAATTGCTCATGTTTTAAGTCTCCTGGTCCATTTTTATCTCTAGAGAACCATCCCCTAATTCATCTTCTCTTCCAGCTGTCAAATTTGGCCGGATGTCGAAGAAACAACGAGACAGCCTCCACGCCGAAGTCCAGAAACAGCTGCAGCAGCAACAACAACATCAAGGCGGAGAGAGCTCCACCTTCTCCTTGGGCATGGCCAACGGTCAACTCAAGCTGGACCCTTCTCCAGATTTCCGAGAAGGCTCCCCTGCACTCCTCACCAGACAGACCCGCCTTAGCCAGTCTCCAGATGAGACCGCGGACTTGGCCTACTCTAACGGACTCCCCAAGGCGCAGATACTCCTGGGTGAGGACCAGCAGGACTTCTTCAAGAAAGGGTATGGTCCTGGGGTCATCAAGGTAGAACCCAGGAGCAGCGTCTATTACGCTATGGAGACGCAGGCGTCACCAGACCTCCTGTCCCCAAATGACACCAGAGCAGATCACACAGCAGCCAGCGAGACCCTTGACGTCTATGCCAACCCGAGCTTCACCGGCTTCTTGGAGTGCCCGCATCCTTCGCTAACGGAGATTGGTGAGTGAATGGAGGTTTTCAGAAAGGCTGGAAGAAAAAGAAGTATTAAGTGGGCAGTGTGGGAGTCTTCAGAAGAATAACAAGAATTGGAAGGGACCTTGGAGGTCTTCTAGTCCACCCCCTGCTAAGAATACAGAATAACAGAGTTGGAAGGGACTTTGGGGGTCTTCTAGTCTGATCCGTTGCCCAGAATATAGAATAATAGAGTTGGAAGGGACCTCAGAGGTCTTCTAGTCTACCCACTGCTCAGAATACAGAATGAATTGGAAGGGACCTTGGAGGTCTTCTGGTTTTACCCAGTGCTCCGAATACAGAATAACAGAGTTGGAAGGGACCTTGGAGGTCTTCTAGTCCAGCCCCCTGCTCAGAATACAGAATAACAGAGTGGGAAGGGACCTTGGAGGTCTTCTAGTCCAGCCCCCTGCTCAGAATACAGAATAACAGAGTTGGAAGGGACCTCGGAGGTCTTCTAGTCCAGCCCCCTGCTCAGAATACAGAATAACAGAGTGGGAAGGGACCTTGGAGGTCTTCTAGTCCAGCCCCCTGCTCAGAATACAGAATAACAGAGTGGGAAGGGACCTTGGAGGTCTTCTAGTCCAAGACAAAACATGGGGTTT